GTTGCCATGGGTTACCATGGCAACGCTTTAATCGAAGCTTACACCTGGTGGATCTGCAGACCTGCAGACCGGAGAGCCAGCCCACTGGACCACCAGGGAATGTAGCACTGAAAAAAAAAGTATGTAACCAGCCTCCACACAGCCTGCCTCCACTCCACAGCCTGTCACCCCTTCACCATGCCCCCCACCACTATCACATTCACACCCTGCCCCCCACCACTGTCACTCCACACTGTCACCTTCACACCCTGCCCATCACCACTGTCACCCTCACATCCTGCCCCCCACCACTGTCACTGGCACACTTACACCCTGCCCCCCACCTCTGTCACACCACCACTATCACTGGCACCCTCACACCCCGCCCTCTACCCCCACCACTGTCACCCCATACTGTTGCTGGCACCCACACACCCTGCCCCTGCCACGTATTCTTCCGCACATAAAAATGTGGTTAATGGCATTTACTGTCCTGATAGGAAAAGTTGTGCCAAGCAACATTACTGTCCTGACAGGAAACGTTGTGCCAGCAACATTACTGTCCGGACAAGAAAAGTTGTGCCAAGCAATATTACTGTCATGACAGGAAAGGTTTTGCCGAGCAACATTACTGTCATGACAGGAAAGGTTGTGCCGAGCAGCAATCAAATTCACAGGAGGTTTTGTGCTGAGCAGCAATCATGCAAATAGAAACCTGGTAATTGCCTTTGGGGTCAAAGGCCGGTTACAGCCAATTGGGGGGGGGGGGGTATTTAGGCCCAATTCTCCTCTTGCTCAGTGCCCTGTTGTGGTTTCATGAGATCTGAGAGTGCGTTCCTGATCTTGATTTTTTGGTATTTGACTTTGGCTTTGTTTTGACTTCCCTGATATCTGGTATCCTTAACTTTTGGCTTTTCCTCATCTTTGTGTCTGATTCTGTGTACCTCTGCAAGTATTTTGACTATTCTTGGAGACGTTAAGTCCGGACATTCTAAGGTCTGGTTATACGTTATCCTTAGTCCTAGGTGTGACACAGTACTGCGTGCTGGATCAATTTGTAATCCTGACAGCCCCCTACTGGCACCCTCACAGCCTGCCCCTCACCACTGGCACCCCACACTGTCACTGGCTCCCTCACACCCTGCCCCCCACCACTAGCACCCTCACACTCTGCCCCCCACCACTGTCACCCCAACTGTCACTGGCACCCTCACACCCTGCCCCACACCACTTTCACCCTCACAACCTGCACCCCCAACTGTCACCCCCACACCCTGTTATCCAACACTGTCACTGTCACCCTCCCATCCTGCCCCCTCCCACTGTCACCCTGGCACTGTCACCTTCACATCCTGCCCCCTCCACTGTCACTGCAACTCTCACATCCTGCACCAATACTGTCACCCTCACATCCTGCTCCCTACACTGTCACCACCACACCATGCCCCCACAGCCTTCCTACACCCTGCCCCCCACGACTCTTACCCCTACAATATAACTGCCTCCCACCACGGTCACGGTTACCCTCACATCCTGCCCCCCACACTGTCACCA